ACACTCTGCAGCAGGTGCTTCAGGTCCTCTTCAGTTTCAGCAAGCAGGGTTGTGTCATCCACATAACGCAGATTGTTGATAAATCAAGGAAATAAAAAGTTCATATTCTAGGTTAGTAGCAGAATAAAGTTAGGACATCTGAAATGTGCTCTCAGGTGCCTCAGCATTGAGTCTCGTGCCGTTAGGCCCGTGTTACAAAGGTCCTAGTCCTGCTGATTATGGCTCTCCCCTTCCCAGTCCTCCAACAAACTTGGACAAAAGACTCTTAGCTCTGGTTCCGTGGCATTGCAAGGTTCCAAGGTCTGCTCCATTTCATGGAAGGTCTCTGGTTCTCTGATGTGGCTGCTTTGGCTGTTGCTCCTGAAGGCTCTTATCTGGCTGGCACAAGAATCTCTGGGTTGAAGGACAAGTTGCATTTTCTTGTTTCTTTTTTTTTCTCTGGTGAGTTTCCTCCATTTCTGCTACTGGATATGCTCAATATAGTGGCAAGACTAGCCAGTCCCTCTGTGGATTGGTGAGGCTACACAGTCTCCTTGTGAATAGGATAATACACTCTATTAACATATTCTCATCCATCCACATGGCAAAGTAAGTTAGTGGTAAGGAAGCCATTGGAACTATAAACCCTTAACACCACACTGTGTCTATTTGTTTTGTTAAGGGTCTTCCTCTCCTTCACTGACCTTTCATCTTTTCAAGCACGATACCTATGTCTAAGCACCAGTCAGCATGCCTAAAATATTTGAGACAAAGCTGCACCATCCTCTCTTCCAAGCAGCAAATTGGCTGTACTTTTTCCAAGGCATAATTGTTTGTTATTTTGGCAGTTTGTGGAATACTCTTCAGCACCACAACTCAGATATTGATTCTTTTTCTGTCATCTTTAGTCATTGTCTAACTTTGGATGCATATCAGATAATCACAAAGACCATGACTTGGGTCTGGCACACCTTAGTCTTTAAACTGACATTCTTTCTCTTCATCACTTTGGAGAGGTCTCTGACAAGAGATTTTCCCAATGTAATATGTCTTGCTTTCTTGACTCTTGATATCATGGGTCTTGATTGTGGATCCAAGTAAAACGAAATTGTTGACAACTTCAGTCTTTTTTCCATCTATGGTGGTATGGCCTAGTGGTTAACATTTTTGTTTTCTTGAAGGTGAGATGTAATCCATATTGAAGGCTGCAGTCTTTGATCTTCCACAGCAAGTGCTTTAGTCCTCTTCAGGCTTCATATTTCAGCAAGTAAGGTTCTGTCAAACTACGTAACCTGGCACTGAGGGAGCCAGCCCATGACCCTCTTTCCTTCGGCTTTGAGTCTGCTGCACTGGCATCCACAACAGAGGAAGCTAGCTGTCGCCTGTGCTATGATGTCTGTACATTTACATGTCTTTAAGGTTTATGCTTACTGGTATAACACTAATTTGCCAGTTTATTGTACTAGGATAATAAGTTACATGTTGCTGCTTTGTGTAACTTAGATGTGTACATTCACGCTTGTTTGTCGTCCTCTCTTACAAGTACAACACTTGTTTGTCAGTTGCTGTACTAAAGGGACTTGCAGGTTGCTGTGCTTCTTGGAAGCTATACCAGTGGTATTTTGGATATCAGCAGGTTCATTTGTGGTGGACAAGTTTTGGCTGAACTTCCAAATTAAGACAGACTAGGAAGAAGGCCTGACTGTCCACTTCTGAAACAAACCCTATGAACACTATAGGAGCACCGTAGTTTTAGCACTGGAGATAGAACCTTGAGATTGGAAGACAATACAACATGAGAAACATCTGTTAATAATTGGAACATGGAATGTACGAAGTCTGGATTTAGGAAACTTTGATATTGTAAAAAATGAAATAGAACTCAGGAATAACATTCTCGACATTAGCAAGCCCTAGTGGACTGGCATGGATCACTTTGAATCAGACAATGCCCAGAATGACATTCTCGACATTAGCAAGCTCTAATGGACTGGCATGAACCACTTTGAATGAGACAATGCCCAGAATGAAAAACAGAAGACAAATAATCTACAATGAATGGAATGAAAAACTGAAAAAGAATGGTGTTGCATTCATAATACTAAAGACTGTTTAAAGATCTATCCTGAGGTACAATGTTGTGAGTGATAGGATACTATCCATATGTATGCAAGGAAGACCTGTTAATACAACCATTATTCAAATGTACACAGTTAAAACTAGAGCCAAAGATGAGGAAATTGAAGATATCTACCAACTCTTATAGTCTGAAATTGGTTACATATGCAGTCAAGATTAAGGAATAATAATCTGTGACTTGATCCCAAAAGTTGGGAACAAATAAAGATTGATTGTTGGAAATTTGGACTTGGTGACAGAAATAAGGCTGGAGACTAAAGATTAAATTTTGTAGTCAATGATGTACTCATTGCAGATTCCTTTTATAAAAAGCACAAGTGACGACTATTGTCATGGACTTCACCTAATGGACACTCAGGCATCAGTGGCTTTAAAAACCCTTCAGTTCATTCCAATAAGCATACAGAGTTGAAAACCACCATTGTAAAATGTACGATTATTTGAGGTGGTGGGTGGGTTTTTAAAAAAAAATTATTATTTAAACAGAAGTTTATAAAAAACTTGGATTTTCATTCATTCATTGTTGCACATTTTCGTCCCTACCCCCTTAGTTCACCCTTTTTTTAAAAAAAAAAAAAAATTCATTCATTGTTGCATAATTTCCTTTCTCCCCATCAGCCCTTCTCCCGGTCCGCTTTGCTGTACACCTCTTATTCTGCACTGTTGTAATACAGATAATGCCTAATCATATATTCCTTTTAAACAGTTCTTTCCTTCATACCACAATGCAGTGTTCATTATTTATCCCCTCTTTTCTTATTTCCATAGCCCCAATATCAGTCCTGTGTTATAATAGTGGTGTTGTGCAGTATTTGTCCTTTTGTGACTGAGATATTTCCCTCAGAATTATGTCTTCCAGGATCACTAATGTTGTGTAAAATTCTGAGTTCCTTGTTTTTCAGTGCTGCATTGTATTCCATTGTGTGACTATATCATAGTTTTTCTATCCATATTTGTGTGTTTTTTGTATTTCTTTTTTATTTGGACATAGACCGTGAATAGGAGACATAGCAGGGAAATGATGAGTGGTCAGATCACATTAAATGTAGACACACCCAAGACAAAATTTGTAAATTTCATTCTGTGCACATGCTGGTTATGACTTGATATTTTTCAACAACAAAAACAACAAAAATATCGCAGCATAATTAGCCATGCCAGAAAGTATATCTAGAATGCCAAATAGATTATTGGAAGCAGCTGTGGCTGCATCATTTAACTCATAATAACTCCAGAAATCTTGATAAAGGACCAAAGATTGATAAATTCCAGAGTGAAACCTGAGTATCCATTCATTCATTGATGGACGCTTAGGTTGCTTCTGTCTCTTTGCTTGTTAATAACATAGCAATAAACATGGGTGTGACAGTTCTGGTTTCTCTAGGTTTTATTTCTAGTAGTAGAATTGCTGGGTCAAATGATATTTATCTCTCTCCCTCTCTATCTGTCGTGCAAGAGAAAGAAACTGAGGTTTATAAGACTTTCATAACAGACTATGAACGGTCAGGACAGACTGACTCTATTTTTCTCATACAAAAGGGTTTATATATCTTTTGTTAGCAGGGTGTGGGGTTTAAACAACTGATGATGTATTCCTTCTAGTGGATATGGTGACCATGGCCACTTCTCCACATTCCTTGAAAGTCTATTTTTATTGTCTTATAGCCTCATTCCTTGAGAGTCTGTTTCTATTGTTATATTGTCACAGACTTTGTCAAAATCAGTTCTGATTGATCTCATTTGTCAGCGGGTCCTTTGCCATTCTCTGTCACTCATGCTTGAGAGAGATTTCACCCTGATTCATTGGCGGGGGAGGGCCCTCACATTCTTTTAGCTACTTCCTGCTGGGAAAGGGCTTTGTAGGTTCTAGGGTGAAGATCTTCTCTCACTACTCTAAAGGGCCCCTTTGACAATAGGAAAAAAAAAAGACTGTTGTGGTGATTGATTTTGGAATTTAGATGCACTGTTATCAATTGTGCCTGGGGTATAGGTTCATATCCTTGGAGGTGCATCTTTTTAACGTGGAACTGTTGCAGCCAGTAGAAGAGTCTTCAGTGTTCAGGAGTCCTCAGAAATTCTATGCCACACCAGAAGCCCCCCAAATGTCAAGGAGATGATTCCCAAAAGAGGTCAGGGGCCTCTTAGAGTACGAACTAGAAAGTTCTGACTCGAATATACAAGAAAGACACCAATACCAAGTGAGAGCAAGAGAAAGAAACTGAGTTTTTTTAGACGTTCATAGCAGACTGTGAACGGGTCAGGACAGACTGATCCAAATGATATTTCTAGCTTTTTGAGAAAGTGCTATACCACCTTCCACAGTAGTTGCACAATTTTACACTCCCACCAGCAGTGAATAAAGATTCTAATCTCTCCATAACCACCCAGTATTTGTTGTTTCCTATTTGAGATGTTTTATTCTGCAGCCATATTTCTTTGAAAACAAAATATTTTGCTTAATACCTTACTTAATAAACAATAATAAATTATAATGTAACATTTTCTTCTGTAGTAGAGTGTTCTATCTTCCTTTAAGTGAGGGATCAAGATGGTTCATAGACTTTTTCTGAGAGGTAAAATTTCTAGTAAAGTGAAAAAATTAGTCATTTTAGAAAATGATTATCTTCAAAGCTACATTTTACTGTAAATGAATTTTATCACAGCAGGAGAACCTGACATAAACACTATTGTGGAATTGGCTGATAGAAAACTACAGACAATCAAATTTCCTGAAAGTACTTAGCAAACAGTCTCATTATAGCAAATTCACTCTGATCCTATTTTACAACTAATCAGTTATTAAGAATCTGAATGAGTACTTCTTTTTAAGGCTCTGTTCCACTGACTTTTTCATTTGATTGGTTTTTTCCAGAGTTTAAGAGATGGCTGCCCAGTGTGTCACAAAGGTGGAGCTGAATATTTCTTGTGATAATCTCCTGGATAAAGATGTCGGATCAAAGTCAGACCCTTTGTGTGTGCTGTTCTTCAATACGAGTGGTCAGCAGTGGTATGAGGTAATATTAACTATTGTGCATGAAAATAATCTTCCTTTCTCCTTGACAGTGTAAAAATGTTTATAAAGTTGGTGAGCTCTGGTGGCCTAGTGACAAGAAGCTGCAACTGCTATCTCAGAGATGCACGGTTTGAATCCACCAGATGCTCTGCTGGAGAAGGAGGAACAATCTCCTCCTGTACCAGTCAGATCTGATTTGACGGTACACACAAAAAATAATGAAATAAAATATTTAAAAAAAATGTTTATAAAGTAATCTCATCTCTTAATTTACTTCCTGGGGTAAGTTTGTTCTTTACTGTGGAATTTTCCATACTTATGTAGAAACTTCCTTCAGCTGTCATGTATGTTTATATTTAATTATGTTTGCAATGTTATGATTAAATTCCACATGCATTTTGATTTGAAGAAACTTTTTCCCTCTCTTGGTTATAGGTTGAACGCACAGAAAGGATTAAGAATTGTTTGAGTCCTAGATTTTCCAAGACGTATATTATTGATTATTACTTTGAAGTGGTTCAGAAACTGAAATTTGGCATTTATGATATCGACAATAAGACTATTGATCTGAGTGATGATGATTTCTTGGGAGAATTTGAATGTACCCTGGGACAGGTGAGTAGAAATAGCTGCTATTTTCTGTTTTGTCTATATTTTAACCAGAGGATTGTATATTGTTAGTGTTGGTTTAATTTTTAAAGTTGAAAACCACATAATCTCTTTAAAGACCAAGTTCCTATATTGATCTTCCTGACTAAAAATAGCACTAGCATTTTCCTTCTTTTCCATAAGGCTCAAAACTATTGAAAAAACGTATTTTCTTTTTTACCCCCTAATTTATTTTTGCTCTGTATCTTTACTAAAATCTTTTAGTATGACCATCTAACTGCTTTATTTGCCATTTACAAAGTACGGTATGATTTTTTTCTTTTGCTGAAGTCATAAGTGCTACCAAAGTGCAACTGTTATTCTCGTATTTTAAGTGAACAGTGTGACTGTTGTTATATGCCATTGAGTCAGAACCAACTATAGCTGACCCTGCATTAGGGTCTTTTTAAAAAAAAAATTTAAAAATTTTTCATTTTATTATTTTTTTGTGTGTATACCATCAAATCAGATCTGACTGGCACAGGAGGAGCTTGCCCTTCCTTCTCCAGCAGAGCACCTCCATTAGGTTTTCAAGAGTCAGTAAATCCCACAGGAGGAGATGACTCATCTTTCTTTTTTGTTCTTCTGCAATTTTAGGTATATCAGTTTAAATGAACTCCCTTGATAAGCCTCCTCTGACCTCATACATTAGTTTTGGGTACTTCCCTACTACCACTGAATTCCCATACTTTATGATAGTTGCCTACTTTTCTCACTTCCCAATGTGTGACACTCTTAGTGTAGTTCAGATGTTATGTTATCTTACATGTCGTCGAGTCATTTGTGACTCATAGTGACCCTATGTTCAACAGCCCTAAAACTCTGCTCTGTCCTGTGCCGATCGCACTGTCTCCGACACACCCGTCCTGATTACCCCAGTCACTGAATCAATCCACCTCATAGAGGGCCTTCCCCTCCTGCGCTGTCAACCCTCCCAAGCATGATGTCCCTCTCCAAGGACTGGTCCCTCCTTACAACATGTCCAAAGTATGTGACATGAAGCCTCAGAATCCTTGCCTCCAAGGAGCTGCCCAGTTTAACTCTCTCCAGGATGAATCTGTTTGTTTTCCAAGCAGTCCATGGTACCCTCAATACTCTTCTCCAGCACCACAGCGCAAAGGCATCAATTCTCTTTCTATCCTCCTTAGTCATTGTCTAACTTTCTGATGTATAACAAGTAATTGCAAAGACCATGGCCTGTATCAGATGCACCCTAGTCTCCAGAGAGACACCATTGCTCTTCAGAACTTTGGAAAGGTCCCTAATAGTAGACTTTCCCATCACAATATGTCTTTTAATTTCCTGGCTACTGGTGACAAGAGTGTTGATTGTGGTAGTTCAGATAGGACCATTTTATTTTGTCCTTAGCCTAGGGTCTGACTTTAAATGTCAGAACATAACTATTTGTGTAAATTGAGGAGGACTTTGTGAGGGAGAAGTTGAGTGAGTTGTTTGTTTTTTTTTTAAATGTTAGCTTGGTGTGTTTTTATTTGGCTGTTATGTTATCACCCAGTTTGTGTTTTATGAGCTTATTTTTCAAGAATGATTGCTTGGGGACCAATACTTTTTTGAAGCCAATATAGAATTGGTTGATTTTCTAAAACATTGTTGAATAGAACCAAACCCAAAAGTAAAGATATGTTTATTTTGGAGGAGAAATTACAGTGTAACTAGATGACCAGGTTTTCCTTATTTTTAGTTTTTAGATGTTTTTTTTTTTTTTGGTATGGTTATTAGGGAGCTCTAGTGGCCGAGTGGCAAGAAGCTGTGCTGCAGTCTCAAAGGCACCTAGTTTGAATCCACCAGCTGCTCCATGGGAGAAGGATGGGCAATCTCCCATGTGTGATTAACTGGCTCTGAAAACCTACCAGTGGGTCAGCTATGGGTCGGAACCGACTTGATGGTATACAGCAACAACAAGGTTGTGAGTGTAGACTTCAAGTACTTTTTATGCCACATTTACAAGTTACTTCTAATAAATTTGAGAGATACATCTATTTGTAAATACCTTGGTCTACTATGTTCTTTTAAACAGAATAATATTTTGTAGGGATTGAATACTGATGTTATGTTGAAAAATTGATCCCATTAATGGATGTTTGGAGTCCTACCTTTTACATTCAGGGGTTTCAGTTCACTGATTTTTGGATCTGATGAAAATTTCCCTTTTTCTTCCCATTAAAGGAAGAAATTGAACTAGTTGATAACTAAACTAGTGGGTGGGAATATTTTATCTGCTAGGTAGGCTCTTCAGAAATCTTCTCCAGTAAGTTTTACATGTGTAGTTATAGTTTCAATGTTTTTTATATGCTATAAAATCTTTGCATAATACTCTTTCTACTTCTTATGATTCTATGTGAACTTTAGACTCAACGTTTATTTTGAAGCCATGAAGTTTAACAATTTGCATGTTGAAATGAAATTGCTGTTTCCCTTTCCAATTTTAACAGATTGTCTCCAATAAGAAGCTAACTCGACCACTGGTGCTTAAAAATGGGAAACCTGCAGGAAAAGGGACAATTACGGTAAAATAAGATAAATAAGATCTCTTTTTTTTTTTTACTTGAAAAGACTCAGAAGAATAGAACACTCTGAAAAAAAAAGAATAGAATGCTCTGAGACTGTACATGTCAAGCTAATAGATCCCACTGTACTTTTTCTTTTGAAATGCTGCACATTTTCTGTTTGCTTTTTTAAAATTAATTTTAATGAAAGTTTACAGAGACTTAGGGTTTTCATTTCATTTACTGTTGCACTTTTCTCCCTGCCCCCCTAATTTGCTCTTTTCTTTGAAAAGTAGAAGAAAAATTGTTTGCTTTTTGATGATTGCAGATCGAAAAATTACAGTGTGATGAGATCTCTTCTTTTCATTGTAAGTTATCCATAGAGGTCTGGTGCATTTTGGTCATACTTGCCTCTCTGCCAGGTAAATTCCCAGGTTAGAGAGAAGTTGTTTAAATATCTGAACAGATCAGCTTGGCTCTTGCCAAAGCAAACTTCATCCCCTTGATATTTTAGAAACTCTTGTAGTGGTTTACATTTCAGGTAAACTCTTTTTCATAAAGTTTAATTGTGGTTTAGGTGAAAGTTTATGCAGCATAAGCATATTAGATTTCCCTCTAAAAAAACTTTGATTACAAATTGTTGTGCTATGGTTACAGTTTTTACTATGTGTGAACATTCTCATTATTTCCATTCTGCTGTACAGTTTTCATTGATCTCTATTCCCTTCCTCATCTTCCTTTCTCATTTTTGATTTTGGATAAATGTTGCCCTTATTTACAAGTGATACTGTTTGTCTTATAGGGCAGTCTATTATTTTCCTGAAAGGTGAATTCCAAATTTGGTTCCAAATTCCATGAGTTCTTAGGGTTGTAGCCTCAGGGATCCTCCAGTCTCTACTAGTCCAGATCAACCAGTAGATCTGCTCCCCTCTCCCTTTTATGGAGAATTTGAGTTTTGGTTTACATTTTTCTCCTGTTCTGTCTGGAACTTTCTGTTGTGTCCCTATTCAGAAGTTGATAGTAGTAGCCAGGCACCATCTTGTTATTCTGTTCTCAGAAGAGTCTATATAGTTCATGTGAGCTGTCTGTTACATAGACTATTTTCTTCTTTGAGATTTTGATTTCCTTCATTCTCTTTTGCCTTTTCTCAGTAGAGGCCAATAGTTGTATCTTTGCTATTTTCTAGGAAAACTATTTTTTGCTCTGACTCTGCTGCCCATTCCCCAAGCACCTTTTTTTTTCCTTTCCTATCACCAACTCCTATGAACCTAGAGAATGGAGGAAAGGCACCCAAGCGTCGAGGACTCTCCTTCATAGGGTCACTATGAGTTGCCTGTGACTTGATGGCACTTAACAACAACAAGAACAACAACAACATCATCAACTGTTGGCCCTGGAAGGTTGAATATGTGCAGTCATCATATTTCAGATGTCAAATTATATCATGCCAAGCTTTTAATTATTTCCTCCAGTTTCTTTCCAGTTAACCATTTCTTATAGAAGTGGTGTAGCTGAGAGTTGAAGTCTGGCTCCCTAAGAGGTCCATGTTTGAGGGATATTGTAATTATCACACATAAGTCTTTGAGCAGTTGGTTTTTTTTAATTTTAAGATTGATATTTTTTTTTAATTCTATTTTCTCTCTTGAGATACAGATTTTTAAAAATCTTTTAAAAAATTTATTATTAATTTCAATGAAAATTTACAGAGACGTTGGATTTCTATTCATTCATTGTTGCACTAAAATTGTTATTTAAGTGAAATTTTACAGACTAGTCTTTTGTGAAACCATTCATGCATATTTTTCTTATGACATAGATTAGAATCTCCACATTGTGACAGCATTTTTCTGATATTTTGTGATTCTTGTTTTTCATTCACTCTTCAATCCTTTCCCTTCCTACCTTTTCAGTTTTATCTGTGAACAAATAACCCCCTTTTGGTTTTGTATGGCTCATTGTTCTAAGGACTGAGTATCCCCCTGATGTTATTGTTTACTTTATGGACCTATTTCTTTTTTATTTTTCCATTTCTATTT